CATCATCACATAACCGCCACATTGCATCACCACATATAACCTCCATATTACAGCATCACATAACTCCCCTATTACATCAGCACATAACCGCCATATTACAGCATAACATAACCGCCACATTACATCACCACATATAACCGCCACATTACACCATCACATAACTGCCACATTACATCATCACATAACCACCACATTATATCATCACATAACTGCCAAACCACTGGGAATCATGACTCAGCCAAGTTGACACACATTTTGGGGAAGCACAATTTAATCTATGACAATGATCAGAAACTATTTGCTGAATGAATACATGAACGATTGGGGTAGAATGGTGGGATATTAATTGTGTTCATATTTTATAGCATATTGGATTACTTAACATAAGGATTTCTGTTATTTTAATTGTATAAAAGCAATTATTTTCTTTTCATAGTTTTTGAAATTATACAATATATGAAGACAAGTTCCTTTTAAAACACTCCAAAAATGCAGAAATACACAGAGCAACATTTGACTGTTACTGCTTCCAACCCCACCTCCTCCGTTTCCCATAATCATTTTCCAGAGTGGAATGTGCATCTTTTTTATTCTCTAAGGACTTGTATACATAATTCTACAGATATATAAACACATGTTTTTATTTAAGGATCCTACTTTCTGAACAGTAGTCTTGGAGCTCTTTCATATTAGTCTGCCTCATCCTTTTCAATGGCTCAGTAACATCTGTTACGTAGTGTTTGTGGTAAGTAGTTAAGTGCTTGGCTGCAAAACTGAAAGGTCAATAGTTCAAACCCACCAGCTGCCCCATGGAGAAAGATGTGGCAGTCTGCTTCTGTGAAGACCGCTGTTGTTGTAAAGTGCTGTTGAGTCATTTCTGACCCATAGCGACCCTGTATAGGGTTTCCAAGGAGCCGCTGGTGAGCTTGAACCACTGACCTTGCAGTTCAAACAGCTTTATAGTCCAGCACATTGTTTCCACAGCGCCACACCAGGACTCCAACCTTGTCACCCTGAGTTGCAGCTCTACTCTGTCCTGTGGTGTTGTGGCGAGTCAGAACAAACTAGATGGCACCAGGTTTGGGTTTTGGTTCACCGTGATCTATGACATCCTTGGGTAGTGACAAATGGTTAGAGGCCAGAGTCCACTCACAGGTGCTTTGAAAGAACTGGAAATCTTATGGCATACACGGGACTGCCACGAGTTGGAATCTACTGGATGGCAACTGATTTGGTAACATTTAGCCTGATTGGTGATGACCCGGATGGAGTCACTTGCTCTGTGCCCCTCTCCTACTGGGCTTCCCAGGCTCTTGTTGTCAGGTACGATTACAGTCAGACTTCTCTTGGGCTCAGCCCTGTTTCCTGCCCCTTCCCTGCAATTCAGTCTGTATTCACTGGTGTCTGCTTCCAGAGAGCCCAACCTACGAAGACTGCTCGTTTCTATTCGTCTGTTTGGTTTTCCTTCCGTGGCACTGTGCAAAGTCGTTTGAACCACAAAGTCGATGGTTCAAGCTCACTAGCCACTCCCTGGAAACCCTGTATAGGGTCGTTATGGGTCGGAACCAACTCAATGACACTCCATAACAATTTCCATCTTATTTTCCAGACTATTCCTGGCTATCTGCATATGTCTTTTCTTTCACTAAAATGTAGAAATCAGGTTGGTGAGTTCCATGAAGAATTAGGTTGCAATTTAAATTTGAATTTGCATTCCATGGATTAATTATGTTGCAGAGAACTGGCAGCTTTATGGTATCAAATCTTTCCATCCACAAACATATCTCATCCTTTATTTAGAATTCTTTGTTGTCCTTTGGTCAGGTTTTCGCCATGCTTGCCAATGCAGAAGATGTCATCGTGGTCTGAATGCACATTTCCCTGATGGCGTACCTTTCTTTGTGTGTCTACTGTCCATATGAAGAGCCTCATTTGGATGGGCCAATTCAGATACTGAATTCATTTGTAACCGGGATGTCTGTATTTTCCCATGTGATTTGTAAGATGTGTCTAGCATGTATGCATTCAAGTCTTCAGTCAGTTACAGTGTTAGGGTTCTCGTCTCCCATTCTGTGAAATGTCTTTTCATTGTCTTGATGGTTAATGGATGGATAAACGTTCATTAATTAATCAAATCTGTCAGTGTTATATTGTGTCTAGTTTGAGAAACCTTTCCGTACTTGAGGTTTAACCCAACAGCTTTATACTTGTGTCTTTCACATTTTGTCAGTGACGCACCTGGCATTGGTGTTGTTTTGGTCTGACATAAAGTAGGGGTCCAATTTCTTTTCTGTATTTTTTGTCAAATGGACACCCAGTTGTCTCAGCAGCATTTATTGAAATTTATCACTCACTGCTCTTCAGTGTCACTTCTGTCAAAATCAAGTTTCTACATAACTGTGGGTCTGTTTGGGACTTTGAATTCTATTCCCATTGTCTCTAGCCTTCCTCAATACCCCTCTGTCCTAATCTGACTAGCTTTGTAGTAGCTTTCAATAAGGGACTTGTCAGGTGACCCCTTCCCAAGCACAAGTGTCTTAGCTTGTGTTCAAGTGAGTTTGACACGTTCTATTCCTCCTCAACCACTAGCCACCAAAATGTAAGTAACTAAGCAGTAGGGATTGCCCTGGTTCTTTCTGTAAATCAGTTTGGGAGTAACTGATATCTTTATAAAATTGTGACAAAGTAAATGGTATGTTTCTTTATTCATGTCCTATTTTATGTTTATCATAAAGGAAGTTTTATTCCTTTCCTTACAGTTACATCTTTTGTTAGATCTATTCCTAGTCATTGATTTTTTAAATGCTATTTGAAATGGCATCTTTTAGCAAGGTTTATTTTTTAACTATCTGTGGCAGATAAACTGCTGTTGTTGTTGTTAGGTGCCATAGAGTTGGTACTGACTCATAGTGACCCTATGCACAA